AGGTCCTCTTTATACCTAATAAAAGTAGCACTAGATGCACAAAGCCTTGTCTATAAAAATTACATTTTGCTCTGAAAGGAGATTGTTGGAGTCAGCTACCTGAGAAACCAAGAGTAAAGTTTATACAGCCACAATTACATGCCTGCAACCACATATTTTTTACAAAGAGATACAGCAGAAGCAAACCAGCGTTTGGTGCTGACATTTTTGTCACCCCAAACCTCTTTGCTCTATCAATGCTAGTATTTCCCCATTAACTGAGCAGAAGTGTGCTCCAGTGTATATGGCTAGTTGTATGTACAACCAAAATTAACGTCCAATAGTTTGGGATCCATATTAGAGATTCATTCGGTCTGGGCATCAACTGAGCTAAAAGGCGTATGTTACAGTAAATGCGACACATATAAAAGCTTACGATCAAATAAGTTAAAGGGAATGAGCACTTTTAATTAAAGTTGTTAGAAAATTAATGTAGATCAGTGACATTCATACCATTCACAGTGAGAAGAAGAATATATCATCTTTTCTCACATGTGACACACACCTCCCGCGCTTTGCCCTAAAGGTAAGCCGCTGGAAATTGGAATACACATTATATGCGAGACATATAGTAAGAGCAGGTTCCACTACTTACAGGCAAAACAAAGTAAAATCTGCAGCAATTAACAGAAGAGGGAGAGGGACCAGGAACAGCTGGCAGACATAAAGACTGCTTTGAGAAAAAGTTAGCTCCATTAGTGGAACATCAAGCCCTTTAAACAGAGGTCATTAACATGTGTGGAGTAAAGAACAACAGTCATTAAATCAACTGACTCAGCTGCCAGCACAAAAATACCATGGCTGCTGTACTGTGAAGTAGGAAGCTAAATAGGATGCTTCTATCTTCGGCAGAAAATCAGTTTCTTTGCTTAATAAATGTACTCCAATGTTGGGAGAGCAATTTTGGGGATAAGGTGCATGAGGATATAAAAAAATACAGTCTACAAGGTAAGTTTTTTTCTTCTTCATTCTGTCTTTTAAAAACGAAGAGTGCATTTAAATTTTGGAACACGCTGGTACGGTACAGTGCGGTACAGTATTTTCCTTCCACCACAGCATTATTCAGTTTAATAAGCTAATTATGTTCTTGAGTATCTAATTCAAACTGTGGTTCACACACAGGACCCCTGGTAGTCAGTAAAGTGCTTTCAGGTCAAGTGGCACTTGGACTTTTATTGTTTCATGCTGCTTCCAGGCTTATCATTATAAAGAACAGCTAAGTTCACTGGGCTGCCCAGTTCATTAGAAATCATTTAATCTCCCCTTTAAATAAGTGAGTCAGTGAGATGGGACAGCCAGTGCCACACTCTTGGGAGCTGGCAACTCTCCATGCATCTGGATTGCTGCCACTGAAGCCCCCAAGGGCTCCCAGGTAAGGCTGCTAGAGCCAGCCCAGCTGCTGGCCCCAGTCTCCTCTACTCCAGAGGCAACATGCCACATGCCAGAGCACATATGCATGGGCATTCCCCATGGACAAGTAGTAGTGGCACATACTGTGCCACTGCTGTTTGTCCCTGGGGAAATGCACATCCCTGCTCATGGGCATGCAGCCAAGAGGGCTAATTATCTAAAGTGATAATTGGGGTTTAAAGGTTGCTTATAGAGGTTTAAAAAAACCCAACAACACAAGTCACTTTACCAGAAGCAGCAGTGCATTAGTTTGATCTGGCTCTGCAGCATCTGTATAGACTATTCGCTTCAGCGGGGCTATCTGGCACTTTTATCTAAAGCAGACTCAATCAGCTATTTGATAAAAGCCCCAAAAAAGCCCCACTGAAGCACCCGATCTATACAGATGTTGGATGAACCAGGTCCAACTAATATGTTGCCTCTTCTGGACATGTGCAGGGCTTGGTGCACGAGAATGCCAAGTTTAACATAAAACACTGAGAGGTTTGTTTTTTTTTTAAAGTCTGCAAGCAGGCAAAGTGGCTAGCCTGCTTCCAAGTCAGAGCTAGCACAGCCGAGCAAGTCCGAGTATTTCTGTACAGCTCTGCTATGATCCATATAGTCTTCAGTGCATGAGCTAGTGTGTTCAGAGGTAAATTAAGGTATAACCGTATGCAACTAACGTGTTGCACACACACATAATATACTGTTGTAGCTGGGTCAACCCTGAGATTTTGCAGCACCATGCAGAGAAGACAATCTTCAAAATGATAAATCCTCTTTCTAGAGATGGAACACTATACTAAGGTTTTTTTGAGACTCTAAAAACCATCAGTCAGATTTGTGAAGGACTGTACACTCTTCCAAATGAATAAAAAATGGGCAGACAATATCCCAGATGAATAGGTGCAAACATCTTAAGGTTTTCCTTGCTATTTATTTTCTAAAGTAGAAATTCTCAGGAAACAAAGAAAATACAACAATTGCATGAAACTTACAGATCTGTATGTGAATCATGACAACTATCATGGAGCTCCAGATGAAGCTACAGAAAAAACAGACTTACCACTTGAACCATTTTGAGATATCTGGCATATCTTGGATCCTTTGCTACAGTGATGACATTTTCCTCTGCTGCTTCCGTTTTCTGTAATCCTGTCTCATGTATACTGTTTTGCTGTACATACAGAAAATTAAACCAATAAGTCAATGACACAGACTAAAAATACTTCAAAAAACAAACAAACAGTAAGACTTCAAACCTCATGGTAAATAACTTATTTTGGTACCAGTGTAAGATTATAGATTTCTAATATTTCTGTGCACCAAAGATGCCATACATAAATTGTTTATGTATGATGATTTTTTTCACGTCAAAGGATTTTAACAAAACAACTGTAATTAATTCAAATGAAGCACTTTCGAAATCAAATAATAACAGCATTTCATAATCAATGACAATAATAAATCACTACATGTACTGGAATAGACACAAATGCATGTTTACTTATATACTGCACACAGGTTTTCCACAAAAGACAATGCTCCAAAAATGGATGTGTGCGTCTTAAGTGAGGAAGCCAATTTTTGAACCATGATTAAAACACAGGGGCAGTGTAAGGGCTGTTCTCCTTTTCCAGAGAGAGGGAACATTCAGCATCAAAGTTGGTTTTAACCCTCTCACAGCCACTGCTGAATAGGTGGTAGCTCTTGGGTGAGCAGACAAAAGCTGTTGCCAATTCGGCAGTGGCTGTGAAAGGGTTGAAACTGTAGCTTTTGGCTGAGCAGCAATATTCAGGATTCAGTCATGAATGGAAAAACCTTTTTGTTTTCATTCTGCCTTCCTAAAACAAGGTGAGTGTCTCTACAGTGTATAAGAGAAAATATGGTAAATTAAAAGAGGAAAATACCTAAGAGTTGGCTGTTTTTTTATGGGCAGCAAATGTAGAGAACAAATCACTAGCCATTTAAAACATCTCAGATATTATATTTACTTGCATGCCACCTATACCTTCCCCCCAAAAAATCATCCCTCCAAAACTGAGGTGCATGTAGGCAAGGAAGAACATTTTTCTTGGCTGGAATAGAAACAGGGAGGGACAGCAGCCATTAAGAACACAGTGTCTGCTTGCTTTTAGATGGCTACTGTTTCTGTGGCCCAAGGAAGCAAAAGCTGTTAAGTCTGAGAGCTCTGTAGCTCATGCCTGAAGCAGCAATTGGGGTGACTAAAGCAAATGAGCTGCAACATGCAGTATATAGTATCTTGATGAGACTTATGGTGTAGAAAAAAACATTTTATTATTTATAGAAACCTATAAGGAACTATTTATAGTAAAGAAGTAAGTCTTGCTCATGGGCAACTGGTGCCTCTTGATTTTGGGGGCGGGGGAGGGGGGCACCAACAGCCAATCGCCAACCCGGGGAGAGGGGGGTTAACCACTAGCACGAGTACCAGTGCCAAACTGGAAGTGCTTCTCTTGGTGCCACCAGAATCTTGGGGCGGAGGGGGCAATTGGCCATTGGCCCCTACTCCTTGGCCGGCAAGGGCCAATCTCAGGGGGACCACATGGCCCCTCCCCCCCGGACTCCCCTATTTGCCTACAGTCTTGCTCATGCTTTTACAAGGGGCTGGGGCCTAGTCTTATTGCTGCACTGCCACAGTAGGTAGTTCTGGCCATCTTACCAGGACTGTTCTCTGGGATGCCACACTTTGTGGACATAGTTTCCAGGAGCACTTATTTTATGTCACAATCAGCCCAATCCATGATTCTGGAATGTTTTTGTCTACAAATAAATGCATATTTTACTTGGGGAAGGGAAGTGGTGGGGTGGGAATGCATGGGTGGTACACAAGTAAATATATTATTAGCACAAATAAAGTATCTGTTTAGACCAGTGGTGACCAATCTTTTTGTCCCGTGGGCTGGATGAGCAGTGCCTAGTTTGTCTGCAGGCCCAATCTGCCCCATGGGATGGGAGGGGACGCAGCACAGCAGTGTGAGGTGGGATGGGGAGTGTGATTAAAGTACAGGTAGTCTCCATAATGCTATCATCTGGAATATGGGATTTGACATTTTTGTTTTATTCATGATCGTTCCCAACTTTGTTTACCTACGTCATTCCTGCATGCCAGACATGTGGCATGGGTCTGGTCCACCAACGTTAGATCCCCCCGCATCCTGAATCCAGGGCATGCAGTGCCTGTGTGGGGCTGGTCCAGGATACATACTGCATACAGCATCTGCTCTGGTTAGTCCAGGACCCACACTGCATACACCTACCGTAGATCAGGCAGGAAGGGCACTGCAAGCAGTCCAGGTCCTGGGTCAGGCACTACATGCAGCACCCCCCTGGACTACCTAGAGTGGGTGTCATGGGCAGCAGTCCCAAGCCAGCTGAAGCAGTCACTGCAGGCAGCATTTACAGACTATTTGCATAGGACCAATCCAGTGCGCACTGCATGCATCATGTGGCTCAACTATGAGATGCAGGGGCAGCACTGGGGGCTGGAAGATGGGGCTCTGTGGGCCAGATCTGGCTTGAAGGCCAGATCTTTGACATCCGTGACCTACTTAGTAGAAGTTCCTCCTCATTTTCCAAGGTAATTTTATAATATTTCAGATTTATAATTTGGTTTGGTTTCTTTCTTCCATTATACTTGCTTGCTCCAGCTAGTTCAGCCAAAGAGGAGCTCTACAGAAGAAATATACTTTCTAAAATATTTGTTTTATTTCAATACTTACTTCTGATTGAGGAGATACAGATGTTGATTGTTGTTCTGTAGTAGCTTGTAGAACTGGACCATTTGTAACACTATTTACATTTGCACTGGATACTTCAAATTTGACATCTTCTAGGCCAGGAATAGAAGATAACTGAATGCAGAAGACATTGCCAAATAAACAGTGAGCGTGAAATTTTAAATATAGGAATAACATGTATTGGCTCTTACCTAGAAACTAACACTTTATATCAGTCTAGCACACAGCTACAATTACCAATTTATTTTGTAGCTATGTTCCAAGTAAGTAGAACAATAGCTTCATCATTAGCTTGGGATTTCAATTTGAAAAACAGGGGAGAGAAGGTGTTCTGTTTCTCTCATGTGCTACCTACATTACAGTTTCACAGTTGGTAGGGTGGGAAGGAACCCGAGCAGATCATCAAGTCCGACCCCCAGCCATGGGCAGGAAAGAATGCTGGCGTCAAACGACCCCGGCTAGGTGATTATTTAGCCTCCTTTTGAAGACCCCCAGGGTAGGAGCGAGCACCACTTCCCTTGGAAGTTGGTTCCAGATCCTAGCTGCCCTGACTGTGAAGTAGCGCCTCCCGATATCTAGCCTGAATCTACTCTTGGTCAACTTATGGCCGTTATTCCTTGTTACTCCCAGTAGTGCTCAGGGGAACAGGGACTCTCCCATTGCCTGCCGGTCCCCCTTGGTCAGTTTGTAGACGGCCACCAGATCCCCTCTCAGCCTTCTCTTGTGGAGGCTGAACAGGTTCAGGTCCTGTAGCTGCTGCTTGAAGGGCCTACTCTGCTGCCCCCTGATCATGCAAGTGGCCCTTCTCTGGACCCTCTTGATGCTGTCCTCATCGTTCCTGAAGTGCGGCACCCAGACCTGAACACAGTACTCCAACTGCGGCCTGACCAGAGTCGCATAGAGGGGGAGGATCACCTCCTTGGACCTGCTCATGATGCATCTATGGATTCATGACAAGGTGTGGTTGGCCTTCCTGACCGCATCCCCACACTGTCGGCTCATTTTCATCTTGGCATCAATGATGACTCCAAGATCCTTTTCTGCCTCTGCACTGATGAGAAGGGAGTTCCCCAGCCTGTAGGTATGCTGCTGGTTCTTCCTCCCCAGGTGCATCACCTTGCACTCAGCAGTATTGAATCCCATCCTGTTCTCATCCACCCACCCCTGTAACCTGTCTAGATCTAGTTGTAGCCTGTCCCTCTCCTCCAGCATGCCCACTTGTCCCCACATCTTAGTGTCATCCACGAATTCGAACAAGGTGCTTTTCACACCCTCGTCCAAGTCGCTGATGAAGATATTGAACAGTGCAGGCCTGAGGACTGAGCCCTGGGGGACCCCACTGCCCGCATCCCTCCAGAACAAAAAAGACCCGTCCACCACCACTCTCTGGGTGCGACCCTCCAGCCAGTTTGCGACCCATCTGACTGTGTAGGCATCAACGCCAGAGTTGCCTAATTTTTCAATGAGAATGGGGTGAGAGACCAGGTTGAAGGCCTCCCTAGAGTCCAGAAAGACTACATCCACCGCAACACCTGTGTCCAAAGATTTTGTGACCTGGTCGTAGAAGGCCACCAGGTTGGTCTGACAGGACCCGCCTCTAATGAACCCATGTTGGTTGCCCCTAAGCATGATTTCCCCTGCTGGTCCCTTGCAGATGTGCTCCTGGATAATTTTCTCAAAGAGCTTCCCCAGGACCGAGGTAAGACTAATGGGCCTGTAGTTTCCTGGGTCCTCCTTCCTCCCTTTTTTGAAAATGGGGACCACACTGGCCCTTTTCCAGTCCTCTGGCACCTCGCCAGAGCACCATGAGTGCTCGTAAAGCTGTGCCAGGGGTCCCGCAATGACCTCTGCTAATTCCCTTAGCACTCTGGGGTGGAGATTGTCAGGACCTACTGATTTGAACACGTCTAGATACCACAGGTGTGAGATTTTTACACTACCACCAGGGATACTATTAATGCAGGAAGACTTTAGTGCGAACCAATTTGCATTCTAACAGAGCACAGAGATACCTCTACAAGAGAGGTTTTTGCCCAGAAGAGCATTCCATCTTTCCACTCTTCTGTGAAATATGAAACATCATAACCTAAAGAAAATATGATTCTACATCCTGCTTACCACCAGACAACTTTGAGGTAAAAAGACTTTTCCAACTTTTCTCTGATCCTAATCTGCACAAAATGAACTGTTTCAAACAGGACACTTTACCATATCTTCAGCTCTCCAGTGAAATATGAATTTTCATTTTTACGTAGGAGAACTTTTACAATTTTTGCAATATCTTATGCCTGATGAAGGGTGCCTGTGCCCAAAAGCTTGCAAATAAATATATATTTGGAAATATCTAATTCATCTAATAAAAGATATTACCTCTGCCACAAGTTTTGGCTTCTTTAGTTAAACTGGTAAGCCGCAGAGAATGTGGCATCTGCTGTGCTGCTCCCTTTATGGAGGAAGAACCAGTAAGCAGAACAACCTATAATATGCACCAAGAGTGGCTACACAAACCAGCAGTTGCACGAAATCAGATAGAGCTACTCTGCATCTTTGAAATCTTCTCTACAATCTTAAGGATCACATTTTATAGCTATTGAAAGCACTGGACATTTATTCAGGACAACTTCAAATTCAGCCTGTAGAGGCCAAGTTTTCAAGATTAGCACCTATTCAAAAAACTTCTGAAAAAGGTAAAGTGTAAACATGGGAACCTTCTCCATGTATTTACACTCTCTCTCAGAAGTCTGAATGAACAGTTCTAAATAATACACTTGTTCCTGCTTCATGGGGGGTATCTACATAAATTGCTTACTGCGGAGTTGCTTAATTAGCTGCACAGAAAAGTGTCTCCTATCCACATGCGCGGAGCCATTAACTGCACCATAGGTTAGTAGTGCCCAACATGGTTACTATCCTATGGCAGAGTTATTTACTCCGCCACAAAGCATGTGTAGATGGTGACTGGGGCTGGCTGGGGCATGAGGGTGCTACACTGAGGGGCTGCCTGCAAGTTAGCCTGGCACTGGAGCACCCTTGTGCCCCAACCAACCTCTCCACAGCATGTTGAGTCAGGCTGAAGCAGCCCCAGGTGGGCAGGCTAACCCTTTGGGTTCCTTGCCTGCTGGAGCTCAACATGCTGTGGTCCCAGGCACACATGTAAAATGCTGCGCCCAGGAGCAATCAAAATGATAAAGATATGATTTCCACTATATGCTGTCTTGTCCTTTTTTCTTATAAGATAAATCTGTTGTGGCAGATCACGTACAAGCAAGTTTGCCACAAGCTTTTGATTTAGCTTGATTTAGTTTTCAGAGTGACAGTGAAACTGTCACTCTGAAAGCTTTTACTATGTTTGATTAATTCCATTACAGTAAGATTCTGATATTTGTAGCCTAGTACAATAAACTACTATTTACAAGGGAGATGTTAACGTACAATGCTCTAAAAGTCTAACCAAAAGACAAAAAGTTTGTATGTATAGACAAACCTTTGCATCCAAAATATTAAGCGTTGTTTCAATCTGTTGAATACGGAGGGAGAGCGCTGACAGTTTCTAGGAGAGAGTTAGAACATGAGGAAACTGTTCTATGGTCTTATATTGTATTAACAAGCTAAGTGACATGGAATCTCTTGTTACAAAATAACTTAAGTGGGGTAATTACACAATTATAAATATTGTTGGCTAGTGACGTTTATAGCAATAGTTAATATTTGAAAATAATGTTCTTGCACACAATGCTTTTCTAATTAATGGTAACCCTGCCAACAGACCGCAGAGGGGATACGGGGCCATAAAAAGTTTCATAGTAAATGAGAAAGCTATCGTAAATAAGCTTATTCATAGTTTTGTGGTGATAAAGTTGGACCTACTGTACCCTCAAATGTAAATGTTACTTGCTTCAAAAAGCTCTCTTTCAAAACCAAAGAGAAAAGGTTGTGAAATGTATATATATAACTGTACTTGCCAGGAGAGGCTGCAGAAAAGAATAATCTGATAACAAATACAGGGAGGTGAATGGAAGTCATTTATGGTCAAAACCCTTTACAGCCAAAACAAACTGAAAGCATCAAATGCTCCAACTGCCCCTCAATCAAATTTCATGCAAAGTTCTTTCTAAATGCAACTTATTTTTAAAAATTAATCCATAAAAACTGTTACTTCTTTAACTAATCATTACCATATTCAGCCAGAGCATCCAAGCAAAATTGGCTAGCATGCTGGTTGGCAGTTACGTAGCATTCTGACAGCTTTCTGGCAGGTTAGCTAGATTCTATCTGGCTCTTGAGCAGAAGTTTTAACACCCAGAGAAAATGGCAGTTGTGCCAATGCTTTAGAAAAATAAGGAGGGACATGGTTCGTCTTCCTGACAACATAGCGACTTATTTACAGATGGTTTTGTCCTTTCCAAATGAGTTAATCTCCTTTTTAAAAGGAAACCATAGGCCCCTTAAATAAGTGGTACATACCCAGATAAATTATACAGAGTTATAAGTTGGTCTTAATTTAACAAAAGCTAGAAATTTCAAAGTTAAGGCCAGTGTTGACCTTAACATTGAGTTTCCTGGCTTATGTCAATTTAAGCTGTGACCTTGGCAACTAAAACAGATTCTGTATTTAATGAAAAAAAAAAAAATCACTCTTGGAGGTTATAAAACAAGTATTTAGTCTCTTACGCAACTATGAATTTAGGTTTACGTAAATATGAATTTATCTTTCACAAAATGCTTATTTACAGTTTAATATCTGTGGGTCACTCAGACTTCACAACTTTATTGTACTGGGAACCTCCCCCCTCTCCCCCCAGCTTCATATATAGGTGCTTTGTAATGCATATTAAATAGACATTTTAAACATGAAAATTTGCTCTGAATTTTCTTAAACACTAAGGATCAAGTTCAGGGCCACAAATAACAGAACCTTTCAGCAAAATGATGAATCTACAAGGCATATGGAAGCTGAATTAAGCTCTCATCTTTTGACAAGGCCCTTTCAGAAGGGAAAGAGCTTGTACAATGCAGTTCTGTGACTAATTAGAAAACTCTGGTTTCTAGGGCTGTCAATCTGGAACATTTACATGGATGCTACATTTACTATAAAAATCTGTCAGTACTGGCAGTCTTCAGTTTAATTTTTTTGTTTAAAACTTCTTAAAACAACTGGCTCATGTGATGTGCTAGTCACCTGCCAAATTTTGGGGTTGTTTTTTAATATCAAAGTAATTTACATTCAGTTTAGCTTAGCCTACTTTCAAAGCTGAGGTGGAGGCTAACTTGCCTGGAAGGTTTGGCATAGCATCCTTAGTCCCAGCTGGGAGAGATACTGTTATTCAGAGCAGGTTAAGCCAAACTGAAATGAGGAACACTTGAACTCCACTGAAATGGGGAATAAGAATCTCTGCACGTGGAATTGATCAGAAAAGCTCCATACCTCAACAAATCCTTGCATGTCCAAAGAGGAAATTGCTATTGTCTTGGTAAAATTAGAGTTCACATAGGTGAAAGCATTTTCATTATTAACTTACTCAAATTAAACCTTGAACAGGTTGTGGATCTAGTCTTTCTGTTCTACTTCACATAGTTATCTGGTACTGAGACACATCAATGGATTCAGTTCTATAGGTAATATTTGTTCACCCAATACAAAATGATGCAATATGAACATACCTCTTCACAAACAGTAGAAAACCGGTTAAGAAACTGTACTGTGTGAACCACAAACTGGTTTAGAAATGCCACAGTTCTTTTCTGCTGAATAGCTGGAACCTATGTTACACAAAACAAAAAAACCCCAAAATTTACACACAGAAAACATGCATTTCCAATTCTTACCCTTGTATTCAAGACCCCATTTTGAAGTTTATATGAAATAGGCTAAGAAAATATTTTAATCGTTTGTCTTAACTATACCATGAATATAGGAACATGAAAAATCAATCAATATTTTAATCTTCTAAGTGTGAGCGTAGAGACATGGGAATACCACCTGAAAAAACAAAGAGGTTTTCACCACAAAAGAGAATGTTTTAACCTAAGAGCAATGCTTTCTGAAAGTCATCATAAAACACACTAAAATAAAAATCTAACTGTAAAAGGAAGTGGATCAGGGTCTCTCCCTTTGGGTCTCAGTACTGGGGAAATTAAGTACATTTACATAAACTAGTATCTAGTTACAATTGGGAACACAAAGCAGTTGTGAGCCATGTTAGTGTGAACTCAGGCAGAAGGCAGGGTAGAGATGCACTTTGTTAGTTAGACACAAGGCACCTTCAGAAAGTGCCATCTCTTATTTTTCACTCATTTTTTCAATACAGAAAAATAATAGATCAATTCTACTGTTGCAAAGAACTCCGAAAAACCACAGCAGGGCAGAACTGTTTTAATACTATGGATTCCTGTTTGAAATCTCTGTTTATACTGTGAAGCATGCTTGCACACCTAGTAGTGCTGTGTGGCGCCTCACAGCACCCTCGAGAGAAACTCAAGGTACCCCAGGGTGCTGTGGTACCTGGTTGAAAATCAGTGTTATAAACTAACTGCATTATAGGAGTACAGTATAAGCTCATAAATCTGGATACCAAAAATCCAGAATGATCAAAAATCTGGCACTGCCCCCCCCTGCCCTCCTGGACATGGAGGGGGAAGTTTGCAGATGGTGGCTGCCGCTGCCATTCACCACACTGTGCCACTGCTCCACGTGCGGCCACTGCTCCGAGACCAGCTGCCGCTAACCTCCCCCCAGCTCCACGACCAGCCATCATGCCGGTTTAAAAAAATCTAGCATTTTCAAATTTCCAGCAAGTGCTCGGCCCCAAGCATGCCAGATTTATGAGTTTATACTGTATAAGCTTGTGTGAGCAAGAGCTCATCATTTCATCAGATAGCAACTTAACTGTCAGAAGGTTAAATGAAGGACATGTGCAGCTGTTTGCTGCAGCTTTTATTTTAAAGGATGCCACTTCTCCACACAGCTAGAGCTCATCAACAGTCCCAAGTAGGTGACTAGAGAAGCAGCACCCCTTCAAATAAAAGACATGGCCCACAGCTGGAGTACTGCAGCAGTCCCACGCTGCTGTTTGCAGCAGCTGTATATAATCCCTGGCTGGTTTTCAAATTCCCAACTTCGCAGGGGGCTAAGAAACATAACCTTGTGAACTATTTGGTTCTACGTATTTTGAGAAGGACTAATTATTCATGCAAATGTTTACTTAGGCCCAAAATGGGAAGTTTCTGAGGCACTGAATTTCTGTTTTTCTTAGATGTACAGCATCCGGTACAATAAGGCTTGGATTTAGACCTGCAAAAACTACTGAAATATAAACAATATGTAAAGTCTCTACCTTTGGGTAAAAATGAGAGAATATGAACATGCAGCCCAATCAAAATACTATGATTACATCCCAATCTCATCTAAGACTATTGTAAAAATAGCGGTGGTTGCATAAGCAGTCTAGATTTAACAAGTTGAAAAGTGTAAGACAAATACAGGAATCACCTGTTCAGTTTACTCATCCCATTTTGTAGTTCTGTTTAGTGTTGTGTTACCCCCAACCCAAGCAATGTCATAAAAAAACTGGACAGAAAATATTTAAGTTCATCTTGGGTTTAACACCTCCCAGAAACACTTGGGAGATTACTGGATCCCATGATCAAACTGAACTGTTCGGCATTCTGTTTTGCAGTTCGTAAGGAACTCCAAAATTAAATAAAAGCTACACCGGCTTGAGAAATACTACTGTGTGAAACAGTAAAATTTTACATGGATAGTATTAATAGATGAAGTATTCTGCTGCATTCTGCTTTTGCAGCAGAGGACTTACCACTGACAGCTCTTTTTGTGCCAAAACTGTTCGGAGGTAGCAAAGAAAAGGATAAAAGCATTTGGGAAAGAGAAAGCATGTTTCACGAAAGTGATTCTTTGAAGAGAGTTTAACTACCACCTCGTTTGGCCCCTACAGTTTGAGCTCCAAGATCAACAAATCAGTTAATATCCTCCTCTTAACAGCACAAGCTATTAACTTCTGCGATCTCGATTTACCTACTTTGGCTAGTCTGTAAGGTGCCTGATCTACCCTGCCTTCTCCTGGACTGCAGGCCAACACTCCCCTGCTCACAGACAGCACCAGGCGCAGCAAGTGAAATGGACTGCCCAGGGCAGGGGGGCTGCACCTGCTGATCTCACCAGGTCCCTTCCAGCCCTGAACTCCTGTGAATATCTACACTGGGAAACAAGCTCAGCTTTGAGCACCTCTCATCACAGCTTTGATGAAGTAAGCTTCAGTCCACAAAAGTTTGAGATATACATATAGATATCTCCACATCTGTCCACCCACTTTGGTTAGTCTTTCTGGCAGGAGAGATGCCGTACCCAAGCAGAAGGCAGACTCCGCTGGCACCTCACAGGCTACGCACAGCAGACAGACAGCTACAGCACGAGCTTCCCATAGCCTACAAGGTCTGATCTACCCCGCCTCCTGCCTGCCTTCGGACTACGAAGGCCCTGCCCACAGAGGACCCCAGGCGCAGCCACCTGAAATGGTCTGCACCCGAACGTCTACATGGGGAAACCCGCTCAGCTTCGAGCAGGAGAGCACCTCCCGCTGCAGCATCTGATGAAGCGGGCTTCAGTCCACAAAAACTTGCGTTTCGAGCCCGCACCTTGGTGAGGTCGATACCGGAGCCCACCAGGGGTAGCCCGTCCTCGTCCATCCCCCGGGGCAGAAGCCGGAAGCGGCTCCCAGCCTTTGACCTCCGCCCGCCGGAAACAAAACCGATTCCACAGGGTCGGCCCCACTCTGCGCATGCGCGGGAGAGCCGCTAGGGGAATGCATCATGGGAGTGGTAGTTCCGCCGAGGCGCCCCGCCCCGCCCCCAGCAGGCGTGCTTAAAGGGCACCTGCGTCCAGTTCTGGCGTCTCCACCTCTTAAAGGAGCTGAGATTAAGGGCAGGGCTTGTTTGTCTGACTTGATCTGCGGTATTTGGTTGTTTCAATAAAAGATGCCGTCCTAACACACCCTTGCCTCTTATTTCCCCCCCTCTCCCCCAGCAGGTACATCAGTGAAGCCAGCAGGGCTGAGGGGAGGGGGGCAGAGGCAGATCCAGGGGGTGCATTACAACTCCCTTTGATTCCTGCTTCACCCCAAATGTGTTGAAAGATTGCAAATAAAGATTGTTAAAACATTTTTTGGTGCAAATATCTAGTTGGTCTAACAAAAGATATCACCTCTGCTAGGACCTTTTGGCAGCGGAAGTTATATTTGTTGTCACTTTGATCTTAAACTGAATACTGCAGCCCTGGGTCCCTAGCATATTAGTAAAGCTTATAGTTTAATTGGCGGAAAATATGCATTGCTTTATCTGTGAATACACAGCTCGCCCCGTTCCAAATTCTAGATCCACCCGTGGAGGAAGCTGGATCCTGAGGAGTAGTGACAGGGCTCAAGGGCTCAGATAACTTGTGAACACCAGGCCCCACTGTAGTGCTGCAATGAACACACTCATGCACTACTCCTTGGATGCCTAAGCAGAGGAGTTTTAAGTTGTAGCAGAAAGGTGGCATCGTCTTTCTGTATAGTGTCAGTGTAATGGTTACTGGCACACTCTGGCCAGTTTTGCTGTCTCCACATTTTAAAGGGGTTGGAAATAGAAGAAGAGTTCAGGAAAGAATTGTCAGAACGCTCCGATGTCTTGGAGAACTGCGTTGGAGAAAGGGCTTAAGAAGCTTGGTCTGTTTTATCCAAAATCAGGCTAAGAGGAGACTTGATTGTGGTCATTAGGCAGGAGATATCTGCAAGCAGACATCTCTTAAATTTAGCAAAGTTGTAACAAGATCTGGAGGACGAAGGTCAAAGCCAGACAACCTGGAAGTGGAAATAAGGCACACGTTTTTAAAAGTGAAGTTTAATTAATGTTTGGAACAATTTCCATCACAAAAGTTTCAAATCAAGGTGGGATGCCTTTCTAATTCAGGAGTGTCAGTCATCCAGCCTGCGAGACAGCTCTGGCCCAAAGAAGGTGATGGAGTCTAGCCTGTTCCACCTGGCTAGACAGGTCAGAGTATTTGAGGACGTGGCTAGAGGGGAGCAGGGCGTACAACAGAATTGGGGGTCCTGTTGGATATCGGTGAGGGAGGGCTGTGCTGACACTGCCCCCCAGTCAGTTGGTTCATTGTCACCACCACTTGCACTGTCCTTAATTGTCACAAAGGGCTACTTGACCCATCATCTCTGCAACTGTTGGCTGTGTTTCATAGATTCATAGATGTTAGGGTCGGAATGGACCTCAATAGATCATCGA